TTTCCTGTCCTGAACTCGTCACCTGCCCTAAGTGGGGAACCTTGGTTGGCTGGGGATGGCTTCTAATCTGTAAACCGTAGTTCATGGGCAGCGTCCAAGAGCAGTCCATAGCTGGGGGCAAAAAGTGCCATTTCGAAGTACTTTGCTGCGAGCGCGATAGTCCAGAGGGGAGACTGAGAACGTGTCCACAAGAGAGGAGAGTTGGCACGCGAACACGAAATGAAATGGAACCCCCTTTTTCCGCCGATATGGGCTCTATGTACAGCCGGAGGATCGAGGTGCGGATCAGATGCCACCCACGTTCGCCGAGCCCTCAGCTCCACCGGAATTAGGTAGGTAGTACTAAGTTTCCTAGAAGGGCAAAGTATCCCCACAGTAAACCAGTTGGACCTGCAAGCCTTTATTTGGACCAAATAAGCATTTGAAAGGCGCTCAGATGGAATACTGATAAGATCCAAACAGCGGTGATAAACGGTCGTTATCCCGAAAACGGCGAAAGGGCGCAGGAAGGCGGCATGGCTTGGAGCGCAGCCAGAGCAGATTTTTCACCAATTGTAGCGGACTCAAGATGACATCATTGTAGGATCAAGTTGACCTGACTCCTGACTGCGCTCCCAACCCCGCCGCGTCAAACGCCCAATTGTTTGCATGGATCACCTTAGTAGGCCACGTGTGACCAGCACATAATTTTTTTGCAATAAGGTAGCCACGTCGAGGCTTAAAGCCGGCAACCGAAGATTTTGTTTTGAACTGAAAGCGCGGCGGCGTGTTTACTTAGAAGGAGAGTAACGAGATTTGGAACGACACCGGGGTTAATTTTGAATGTCTAGCCTGAGGCAGTTTCGGTGACAAAGAACGACCGCAAATGCGAGCATTACTCTGCCGAAAAATATTCGCTGTGTAAAACGTTTATGCGCCCACTTTTTCAACAAATATCCATTTCCAAAATATAGAACAGATAAGGTGACAATGATAATTGGGCATACGACACTGTACGGTCACTTTTCGGTACTTGGATGACAGCTTGGCGCAGGTAATGGTTTGCGCGCCTCTCCGATGTAAACTGAATGTTGTCATCCATCTAGACAAAACAACAGACCGAAAAAACAGCAAAATTCAAATTGGCTCAAAAAATAACCAAGTAGGACAGAGACGGTTCGTTTCGCCGCTTACTCACGCGAGCCTTTTCTTCCGTCAGCCATCT